TCATGTGGACAAACACGTTTCACTTCAGCAACAATCGTTTACGACCTAAGGGTCAGGCCAGCACAGGTGGCAGCCACCTCAAGCCAACCGCGAGAACTGCAGGTGCTGTGCTTGCCCGCTGTGAGTCAAGTCCTTAGTAAGTGAATTGTTACCAGTGCGGTTGAGATGTGCTGAAAACACGGAAAACTCCTACGTTACCTGTTCCACCTGCAGCCGGCTACGAGGAGGGAGGGTGGGAAAGAGAGGCCGCCCCTCGCACAGCCATGGTGCCAGCTACACTGGAAACATCACTATCCAAGGCGCTGAGACCTCATCAAGTGACTGGCCAGCCTAGGTCCTGCCCCCTAGGGCTTAGGAAGCAGCTATGACAGTGCGACCACGGGCTCCACCTCTCCTGAACCACAGGTCATGGAGTCTCACACATGAGTCACAGGCACATACATGTCTAGGTATGTATTTCTTTCACCTGATCAGATTTATCAGTTTGACTTTTTTTTTGGGGGGGGGGACTTTAAAAAAATAGCACCCAGTGGTGTGGGGTTGAGTCAACTGTGAGACCCGGAGCTGCTGACCTAGCAGGCGGCTTGCCAACCCAGGGACACAGTGGCAGGCGTTTGGGTGCAGGAGCCGTGAAATGTCCCCATCATAGAGCTCATCAGAGCCGTCGCCGCCACTGTCCCCTGTCCCCTGTCCCCAGCCAGCAAACTGCCACAGCGAGCAGTTCCCCACCCCCCACACTGTCTCTCCAACGGCGTCCGCCTCTGGGGCCGAGGCGAAGCACAAGCAGATCCTGGTCCTCCACCCTCCCACGGACTCAAACACAAAGGCCCCCTTCACAGACGTGGTCGCTACAAATCTACTTGCGAAATCCATCGGAGAGAACAGTATGTTTCCAAGTGAAGACCACAGCACCTCTCCGTACCGTGTGAGGCCCAACAGCAGAGTTACAGGCCCAAGGTCAACTGTGACCGCTTCAGAAATGCCTTTTTTTTTTAAAGATTTTATTTACTTATTTATTTTTTAGAGAGGGAAGGGAGGGAGAAAGAGAGAGAGAGAGAAACATCAATGTGTGGTTGCTGGGGGCCATGGCCTGCAACCCAGGCATGTGCCCTGACTGGGAATCGAACCTGCAATGCTTTGTTTTGCAGCCTGCACTCAATCCACTGAGCTAGGCCAGCCAGGCCAGTAATGCCTTTTGACTGTGCTCCCAACGAAAAGAGCAAACACAAGTTTATGGTACAGGCAATTTTTGCTCCACCGAACAGTTCAGATACAAAAGCTGTGGGGAAGGAGGCAAAATCCAATGAATTAATGGATTTTAAATTGAGATGTGCTTTTGGCCCTGGCTGGTGAGGCCCAGTAGATTGAGCCCCTGACCATGAACCAAAGGGTCACTGGTTCAGTTCCTAGTCAGAGCACATGCCTGGGTTGCAGGCCAGGTCCCCAGTAGGGGGTGCTCAAGAGACAACCACATATTGATGTTTCTATCCCTCTTCCTTCCTTCCTTCCCCTCTCTAAAAATAAATAAATAAAATCTTTTAAATTGGGATGTGTTTTTAAAATGCACAATGAAAATGATACATCAACTGATATGGAAACTAACAAAGCTGTTCTGTGAAATGTATCTAAAGAAGATGAACCCACACCAAAACCACAGTGTTTCACTCAATGATACTGAAACAAAGAAACTCATGGAAAAGTGTAAAACATCTCAAGGAAAAATAATGAAGCCATCAGAAGAATACTGACACCTGAGAGATGAAAGCTTCAGGCTCAGAAAGGTAGCACGCTCAGAGACACCTGGCTCAACCCCCAACTGCACACTTCAGAGATGGCATCACCAGCTCTCTTCCTTTACTTCTGCTCGTAATTGCAGCCACTTTCACTGGATTCTTTCTAGGGAAATTCACCTTGTAGAGTGAAGTGTGCAGGGTGCTATTTCTTTTATCTTCTCTGGGCCAGAAAAAGATTTGTTCACATACTATTTCATTGGCAGTACGGCCCACGGTGACCGCGTTTTTGGTGCGTGTGCAGTGTCACCTGGGCTTTGCCTTTAATGACCTCTTCTGGTCAGAAAACACAATCAAAACAAACTGTTCGGCTACTGGACAAATTGTATCACCAGATCATCACTAGCAGATGTCAGCTGTCCATTCAGTCCTTTATGAAGTTCACAAAGAACTGTTCTTTCTCTGTGGTTTGAGAGTTCATTTTCTTACCCCTTGTGAGGCAGTTGTTGACTGAGTTTTTCATCCTTACAGTCCTGTCCCACGGTATTGAACACACAAAAAATAAAATGTTAACAGATTCTTGCTCAATTAAAAAAATAGTATCAGCTACTTAGGAGGTTATACTGTTTTTTTCTTTTACAATTGTCATATAAGATCACCTTTAAAATACATTTAGTGTCATTGACTGAAAATTGAGAAACACTGCCATAAGCCAGGAACTGCAGATTCTGGTCCCAATAACGGCACCACAAACTGTGCACCGGGTGGACACAGCTGATACACCCACAGGAGTGGTCCCCGCTGTGTAAGGCTTTCGGCTGGGTCAACTTCATGGTTCCATTTCTCGAATCTTTTCTAAGTGTGCTTTTTATTACTTGTCCCATATTTTAAGCCACAGAAAACATCTCAGCATCTGAGCTAGAGTAACATCTCTGAATGGAATGTGCTAACATGTTAAATAATGAGTACTAAAGCGAAATGTATCTGGTCTTCTGTCACTACTGTCCCCAATTCTTATTCTGACATTTCCAAGCTACAAGAAAGGTTATGGGCATACAAAGTAGAGGAGAACTGTCACCGGCGTACACTGCCGGTGGAGGGTAAGGTGGTGCAGGTGCTTGGGAAAAGGCGGGTGGGTCTTCGAAACGGTAAACAGAAAGTTGCCATGTCACCCAGCAATTCCCCTCCTTGGTATCTATCTTAGAGAAATGAAGACATATGTTTGCACAAACACTTGCCCTAGAATGTTCATAGCAGCAGTATCCACAATAGCCAAAAAGTGGAAACAACCCGAATGTCCATCATCAGATGCATGGATAAATAAAATGTGGTATATCCACACGATGGAATATTATTCACCCATAAGCAGGAATGAGGAACTGATACATGCTAGGATATGTATAAACACTGAAATCAACCATGCTAAGTGAAAGAAACCAGACACAAAGGCCACACATTGTAGGATTCCACTCATGTGAAATGCCCAGCACAGGCAAATCCACAGAGACAGAAAGGAATGAATACAGCTGTGACAGCCAGCGGCTGACAGGGAGGGAGGATGATGAGTGACTGTTAATGGCTTCTTTTTGGGATGATGAAAATGTCCTAAAATTAGATAATAATAATGGTTGCACAACTCTGCAGATATGCTAAAACCACTGAATTCTATACTTTAAAGGGTAAATGTTATGGTATTTGAATTGGGTCTCAGTAAAGATGTTATTTTAAAAAGAATACAAAGTAGACCCATATAGCATTCAACTGGAGTCACCAATTAATATTTTAATTAATATTTTGCCAGACGTGCTTTTTTTCTTGTCACATGTGGGAGGGTGCATGAGCATCATACACAATTTATGGCTGGACCATTTAAAATTTAGTAATTGTGATACTTCTATATATTTCAGTATTCTCCTCTGAAATCAAAATGAACATCATATTCAGGAAACTTAATACCAATACAAAACTATTATTTATTATATAGCCCACATTCAAATTTACCAGAAATTATGCATTGTATTTGGTCATCATATCCCTTTTGTCTCTTAATCTAGAAAAAATCCTTTTTTCATGGCATTGACATTTTTGAAGGATCCAGACCAATTATTTAACAAAATGTTCTGAATTTTGGCAATGCCCAATTGTTTCCTCCTGAACTGGTTTAGGTTCAACATTTTCGGCAGGAACACTGCCCAGGTGAGCTGTGTCCTCCTCGGTGCATCCTGCTAGAACCCTCTATTGTTACACCAGAAAATGTGTCAGTCTCCTTAGTGGTGATGGTGAGGTGGGGTTCCCTGCTGGTCCGTGTGGGGACAACCATGTTCTTCCAGTATAAATGCAGCCTTTTCCCTCTGCAATGAAGGTTAACTATTTGAGTCTGTGCAAATATCGGATTTCCCCAATAACCTTGAACCCAAGGCTTTTAGCATCCATTCATGGTCTTTGCCGGGTATTCTATCCCTTTGCAGATCTAGCTGCATTCATGTGACTGGTCACGACTCTCGGTTTTATTCCGCAGAGCCTGAGAGCACCTGTGATTTCAACACCCGCCGCACACTGGAATCACTGGTCTCCTTGGGGTGGGACGTGGACAAGCACATTTTTAAATTCCCCAGGGTGACTGCTTCTGGCGAAGAGGAAGGGCTGACATTCCCCGAGTTAGAATCAGGGAATCTTGCAACAGTTTCATTTTGCAAATAAGGAATGAGGCCCAAGGCGGTTAAACGGCCAGTAGCAGAAAAAATATTGATGGCATAGTTTAGATTTTTTGGACTTGCATTTTAATATGCCACTCGTTTTGTATGTTATTCAAAAAATAAAACCAGAGAAATGAGTAACTTTTGCATGGTGTCAGAGCTGACTGCAGCCTGAAATGCATATTTCCGTTTTGAAGGTGAATTCTGCCTTTCGTTCATTACACCTTTGCAGTCACCTTAGGAGTGGAAGAACCGGTCGCGCGATCATCGAGCTCCTCCGCCCCCAGTGCTGCACACTGCGACAGCTCCAGCCCGGGACCCAAGGCGGAGCCAGATGTTCAAGGAGCCAAGCGGTTGGCGCTGCAGCCCCGGCGCCGGCCCCTAGGCCCCGCACACCCTCCCCACACACGTTGGCGACTCCTTCGGGGGGGCCTCTCGGTAAGACAGACCTACACGCACCAGACGCACCTGACGGGGACTCACCTGGCGGCGCGCCCCTGCCCCGCCCAGGGACATCAGATGTGCAGGGGATCGTGGAAATGACAAAATCTGCAGGCCTGCCCACCCCACTTACCCCGGCATGGTAAACCTTGTTTGCTCTTTTAATCTTAATGTCCAGGGAGGTCCCCATCTCCAGAACTCCGCTGCAGGCGCCACTTCCTGCCACACGTGACCAGAGGAGCAAGAGAGACGACCCCTCCCTCGGGCACAGCCCCGCCCCCTTCTACAGTCCGCGGGCAGTTGCGTCACGTGACCTCGCGTCCCACTCCGGATCGGCTCCCCCGTCTTCCTTTTTCCGGCGCAGGGGTGGGCCGAGGGACTGTCACTCTTCGTCACGCCCACGCCGGGCGTGAGGGGCGAGGCCAACCTGGCCCCACCCCTTCCGCTGAAACAGTCATAACTCCGGAAATGCCCCACTTCTAGCCCGTTTGTCACTGGGATGGGTAAGTCGGCTCTTCCGGCGTTCGCCGCGACGGGGCGGTGCCGGAGATGGGTCGCGGGCTTAGCCTGCGCGGGGGAAGCTGGGGCTCCCATCAGGCTGTGCGGCGCTGAGGCCCTATGCTAGTGAGTTGGTTTGAAGGCAGTGATGACTGGAGTTTGCGTCCCCTCGTCTTCTTCCTGTCGTCACATCCAACCCTGCCCCCTTCCTCCCACGGGTTCTGAGGAACCGCGTCCCTGTGTCCGGCCCGCGGCCCCGCACTCAAGGCCCGCAAAGCGCTGGCTGGTGGCGTGCTCGGCTGCCCCGCCCCGCACCGCGGGCCAGGGGCCAAGGTCTCGGGGAGCGTGGGTGACCTCCCCCCCGCTCCGAGCCGCGGTGCGGGGTTCGCCGAGCGCGGGGGCTTGTGGGTACTTCCTCGGCGAGCCCCTGGGAACGGGGGTGTTGAATATTCATATTCGTGCGCCGAATGCGGGAAGGCGCGGCTTGCAGGCCCTGGGTCTCGGCAGTGCGGGGAAATGAAAACCTCCAAGTCGAGCGGACCGCCTCGTCTCCTTTTTATTCCCATCCAGAGCAGACTGAACTAGGTGCAAGTCATACATTGTTTTTGGGGGGAGAACTGCCTTCGGGCGAGGCGGCAGTGCAGTGTTAGGCAACATGCAAGGTTTATGGAAATAAAAACCCTTGTGAACGTTTTAAGCAAGGACATCGCCAATAAGCAGAGAGGTAAAATGAATAAGAAGTACTTTTGATTTCTTTCAATCCCTTGATGCCGTTTTGTGCTTTCTAAACTGCATTATTTCTAGGACGACTTAAATTTTCTGCAAAGCGATGTTATGAATTGGTCTCACGAGTGCCTCCCTCTCGAGAAGGTATTTGATAGGACGGCAGTGACGGTGCAGTTGCTTTAGAAGGTGGTTACATGTGGTATTTCCCGACAGTCAGTTGTCAGTTTTCCGATTTCCGCTCCTCTCTGCCCTAGGGCGTCTCAGCCTTGGACCTCTTCCTGGCAACTCCCAGCTCAGCAATTCTGGAACAATTCATTAGGGACTTAATAATCACAGCCTAGTCTGTTTGCGATTCAAGGAGTGGATCCCTCTCCACCAGACTCGCCCATCTTTTCCAACCCGTAAAAGACCAATCTCGGTAGACAACGTGGGGAAACAGGAAAAGAAAGAAGCTCAAGGATCCACATCCTAGCCGTTTGCTTCAGCAAACCAACTTCGTACTTACTTGACAACAGCACGTTACTTGCTCCTTGCGGACAGGTGTGCCGCGTTTTACTTATCTTTGTGGGTTGTGTATAATCTTGATGGAATACCGGTGCAGTGCAAAGAGCTTTAGTGCCGGTAATCACCAGTGTAGTCAGTTTGTTGAGACATCTCAGCGTGATGGCTGCCACACGTAAAACAGTCTGTTTTCCTCCACTCACTGCTATTTTCCATCCCCTTAACTACACCTTAGGTGACACTGTAACTTTCTGATCAATTTCAGTTACTAAAAATCAAACGTGTTCAATTGCCAGTCCCATGGCTGGGTGGGACCTGGGATCCTTAGTGAGCGTGGGAAGGCTCTTGGTCACTTTCCTGTTTTCTTCAAGGCCTGGCTTCGGGGTTGAGGCAAGTGCTCCTTGACACCTCCAGGTAACTGGCCCTTGTGTGCAACCACTCTCAACGGGCACATGTAAGAAGGACTGCTGTCCTTTTCATACGTTTTCAAGGGAGATCCATACCCAGCTTGACCTCCATCAGCCCACTGCTAGCACCCAGCAGTCGTGCGCCCAGTCTCCTGTGTGAGGTCCGGCAAGACCTTGTATCTTCCGCAGAGCCCACCTGACTCGTAAGAAAGACGCTAGATGCCCTGTGGCCTCTCCTCTCCACCTTGCCATCTGTCTTTAGTCTTTCTCCCTCTTGAAATACAGACAGGAATAAATCAGCAAGAATGCTGGCGAGACAGTGTTGCAAGTAGGAAATAGGAACCAGCCTCTCCTTCCAGGAGGTCCCACTGATAGCAAGGAGAGATGATTTCACAGCCCTCCCATCACCTCCCATCAGAAACACTGTTCTCTCTTCAAGGCCAGCCGCCTCCTTTCCTTCTGTCCCCTGCCTTCTTGCACAGCCTGGAAGGGAGAGGATCGGGGAAATGTTGGGTGGAGGCAGGGATAGGTCTGCATCTTATTCAGCCCCAGGGAAAAGTGTTGAGGGTGGGCATCTCTCATTAGAAGGTGGCGTCCTCTGTCTACTGTTTTCAGCTGTGAGCCTGGTGCTCAGTCTGGGACATTAGGGAAGGCCCTGCTGAACACCTTTTGGTGGATAGTGGGGCACTCTCCCCAGACCCCCATCTCAGGATTGCAGAACATTCCCGAGCCATTCAGAATTTGGTCTCAACGGCTTGCAGCTAAGTCACTCGCGAACAACTTGCCCTCAGCGGGAGATAACTGCTTTTTGCTCCAAGTTGTGGTCCCTTCTGAAGGGGCTGGCCACATCTGATGAGTCGGCAGCTTACAGACCTCTCCTCCTTACCCCGCTTCAGGACAACTCCGAGGGACAAGTCCAGCTCCAGAGCTCCCTATGTTAGTATGTGTTGTACATAACAAATCACCCCAACAATTAGTAGTTGAATACAAGAAACATTTATTATCTCATGGTGTCTGTGTGTCAGGAAATTAGTTGCAGCCTTCCTGGGTTCCTGGCTCCTGACCCGGGTAGTTATTTATGGTCAAGATGTCCGGGCCCCGGGCACGGGAGGGCGTGGCTGGGGTGTCCGATCCACGGCCACGATGCCCGTTGGCTGGAGGCCTGAGCCCCTCACCATGCAGGACTCTCCACAGGCTGCTCCTGAGCCCTCACCGCCTGGCAGCTGACTTCCCCTAGACCCGTGGAGCCCAGAGGGAGGCAGCAGGGGCTGCAGTGCCCGGGTGGTCCAGGCTCTGACTTCTCACATCCGCTTTCCATCTCTGTATTAGAAGGGAGTCACTGAATGCAGCCCATGCCCGAGGCAAGGGGAGTTGGACTTGACCTTCGGAAGGAGCATCAGATACTCTGGACGTATTTCAGACCCACTCTCTGTTCCCATTGGATGGAGAACCTCTGTTGGGACTGCATCACAGTTACCCCATCCCTTCTGCCCTTCCTAATCCGGTTTCCTTTGCTCCACCCCTGCACACCTGTTGATGTGGGGAATGCCCCTAGCGTACCTCCTCCACATGGCTCCTTCCCAGAGCCTGGCAACCCAACCAGCAACAGTCCCGTCCGCTAGCTTCCTGCCTTACCTTCTCTCAGCCTCAGTCTCTGTCATTGTAAAATGATTTGATACCTCCATTACAGGGAAGTTCACCAGATTCATAACAGCTCACGCATTTTTTAAGATGTTATTTATTTATTTATTTATTTATTTAGAGAGGGGAAGGGAGGAAGAAAGAGAAGGAGAGAAACAATGTGTGGTGGTTCTCACACGCTCCCCACCAGGGACCTGGCCCGCAACCCAAGCATGTACTCTTTGACTGGGAATCGAACTGGTGACCCTTTGGTTCACAGGCCAGTACTCAGTCCACTGAGCCACACCAGCCAGGGCACAGCTCACATATTTATCACCTACTTGTTGTTGGCCAGGCCCTGTTCTAAGTACCTTAAATGTTTTGATTTATTCCATTCTCTTAAGTCTTAAAATTACTATGTACTTATCTTACAAAAGGAAAAAAAACTGAGGCACAGAAAGATTAATGTACTCGTCCAAGGCCACGTGGCAGCCACCCATTGTGGTTCCAGAGCTCACGCATGCACCCAGCAGTCACGTGCTGCATCCCAACAAATGCCTGGGCTTCCCACGAGGGCCACAAGGTCTTAATGAAAAGACTGGGCAAAGGACCGCAGCTCAGATGTGAAAATCAAGCAGAGGTGTAAGGTTTCAGTCAAAGGTGATTTTTAAAAATGGAATGGGGTCATACTATCAATTGATCATGAAGACAGTATATAAAACCATACCAGAATAGTAGAGTATATTAGTATCCTGGGGCTGCCTAAGAAAGGAGCACAAACTGGGCAGCTTAAAGCAACAAAGTATCCTCTCCCAGTCCTGCAGAATGAAGTCTGGAAACAGGGCGTCAGCAGAGCTGGTTTTTTCCAGAGCTGAGACGGAATGTTCCGTTGCCACCCTCCATGGCCCGCTCATGGCCATGCCACCATCTTCTCCCTATCTCCTCACATTGTCTTTTTTTTTTTCAGAGTCTGGCAGGTAAGGAAGGAGGGGGAGAGAGAAGGAGAGAAATGTGGAGGGGAAAGAGAAACATCAATTGGTTGCCTCTTGTACACGCCCGCCCTGATCAAGGACCAAGCCCACAACCCCAGCACGTTATACCCTGACTGGGAATAGAACCCAGTGCAGAACAGTGCCCGCTCAACCAAGCCACAACGGTCAGGGCTACATCATCGTCTTTATACGTGTCTTCATCTTTACATGGCCCTCTCCCCTCATGTATATCTGCCTCCAAATGTTCCCTTTGTGTAAAGGCATCAGTCCTATTTATTGGGTTGGCCAAAAAGTCCATTTAGTTTTTTCCATGAAATAAAAGACACATTTTTCACTTTCACCAGTAACTTTATTGATTTGGATATTTTGAGTGTGTTGGCTATTTTCCACTATTGGCTTCTTGTGGGTAGAGGCCGGGGTGCTGCTAAACATCTTCCAGTACATAAGACAGCCCCACAGCGAAGAATTGTTTGGCCAAAATGTCAGTAGTACCAAGAAACTCTGCAAACTGCTTTGGATGCTTTCAATCAA